CACCATTATCTTTTCCAAAGGAAACATTGCTTTGCAAGAGTTGTTCTCTAATATAATTTCAAGTAATATTGCCACAGGTTGATACCACAGCAATAGTCATTTTCAGCCTCAGAAAATATTTTCTGAAAGCTAATTGGTTTATAGGAATCTGAGTATGGCACATTTGTGTGTGATGTGTTCTGAATGGAAAAGAGAATTTTTATCGCCAAACCAACAACATTAAGTCAAGTTCAGATTTAAATGATGTTATCAAGGAGACTCTCTGCAATCAGGGACATATTGATTTGCAGTATGAGTAAGAGATTCATACAGTATGCCTATATATTCAGCATACAAAAACATCCCATTTATTCCTCTGCCCATCCTCCCCATTATCCAGCCATCCTCTCTGTGTTATCAGTAGCATTTCCTGGTTCCACAATCTGACCTCCTTCTGATGAAGTAAACATTGTTTAATGTTCAAGTAATATTGCCAAAGTGAGTGTTTATCATCATATCCAATCACATTCTTCAGCTTTCAATTGTGCCTCATCTCCTCTGCAGTTAAAACTTTGCATCTGTGTGTGCAGGGTGAAGGTAAGCAGCTAAGCTTGCGGCAGCAGGAAAACAGGTCTTATTAAGGGCACAAATATATATCTATGGAAGATGAAAAAAATGTTAATGATGCATTTCAGATGATTGAGGGCCTGACACACTGCTTTTGTCATAGGAAAATATCAGAACTCCAGTTCTGATTTCAGTGTAGAAGAACTGTGTACCAAACAACAACTGCAAACCAGCCCAGTGTGGGCAGATAATCTTAAGAATTACTTGCTGTGACTTGAATCAATCTTAAATTTGTCTATCTGCAAACAGCTGACAGTGTTAAATTTGTCTCAAAATCCCAAGTGGGCATGCAACGTGATCAAGTATCAGGTTATCAGTGCACCTGAATGGGTGTGATTGGTGCACACACATTTAAGGTTTGGTGAGTGAGCGCGGGAGATGTTGCATGTAGTTTTAGACATTTGTACACACAGAAAGGTTTTCGAAAAAGAAAATGACCAGATTTGTGACGCTGAATTTAATAAATTGTATATAAATGATCAGTATTTATTCTGGTTTGGATGTAGAATCAAGTAAAGAAGACATGAAGTAGAACTGGAGGTGGCACAGCTGAAGAAAGGAGATTTTTCAGTGGGTAGGACCAGAATGGAAAGGCTTAGAAATAAGTAGATCAGAGGGACAGTTCAGGTTTAGTTGTCAACAGACAATGTTAGAGAGGCAAGGCTGAGATGGTTTGGACATGTGCAGAGGACGGATGAATGTTGAATATGGAGCTGCTGCTCAGGAGGAAAAGAGGAAGACCTCAGAGAAGGTTTATAGATGAAGGACATGCAGAGAGTTGGTGTGACAGAGGAGGATGCTAACAATAGAGTGAGATGGAGAAAAGCAATAAGACAAGAAAACAATTCACAGTTGGTGACACCAGCAGACCACATTTTCTTGCAGTCTCATAGGGTTAGGGTCTATTGGGCTATCCCATGTGTTGAAAGTAGTAGTAAATGATAGACAACAGCGTGTCAGAATGCAATGAAGAAAGAAATGGGAAGTTATTATGTAATAATTGGAAAATATGCATCATAAATGCCCCACTCATCCAACCAACTTCACATCTTCAAGGTTGTTTTCCCAACTCTCTCTAGAATGAGCTTTATTGAACTTTTCATGCTTTTCTGAAGCACTTACATCAAATCACATGATCACCAGTAATTTGTCTCCCCTGTGTATTAGGTCCAGCATGATTTCTGCTCTAATCAAAATGAGAGATAAAAAACAACAAAATAAACAAAGCAGAACACAAAATCACAGAATTGTTTTCCAATAAATTAAGTTTATTTAAGTTGGCTTTAGTTAGCAGGAACCATGCACTCAAGCTCTTTATGGCAGTACTAATAATAAAGATATTTCACATCACAGACCACATAAAGAGAAAAACACAGACTCCAAGCATTCCTCCCTCTTGCATTTTACATCAAGGTTTACACCTTTACATATATACACAAGCTCAACATGAACCTTGCTGTTTTTTCTTCTCTTTTTTTTAAACATTTTTTTCTTGCATGTTGCATGTTTTCTACCTGGGAAAGCAGTGTATTTATTTGAAAAAAAAAAAAAGGTAGGAGAAGTAACAGTGGAGCAAGGCACACAATTATACTTTAAAGATTTCAAATCCTATATTGTCCTACACACACTTGTCTCGGCACCAATCCCAAACTCTAGCGTCACTGCTAATCGTCATCTCAGGAGTCGCCCAGAAGGTAAAAAAAAGAAAGAAAGAAAATGATACATGATACAATATTTGTGTAAATACATACAGCAGTATTAATACAACACACATCCCATCAACAGTGATCAAACTGTAATGTCTACACAACACCACTTCAGCTCTCACCAACTTTGGTCGTGTTGCATAGATAGAATACCGTTTTGTTTTAATGTTGGGTTTTTTGTTCCTTTTGTTTTTGGACACCTGGTTTAGTTCAGTTTGCAAATGCTGTTCTACAGGGGAAAGGTTTTATTCCACATGTAATTCAATGGACTTCTTCACCACCATGTAGCTACTCTCAAATAGCTAATAAGGTGGTAAACAGCTATCACTGAATAGATGAATGCCAGCAGAGAATTTTGTCTTTTTTCATATTTGGTTTGACTATCAAGCAGCACTTTGAAAGGTTATACTGGTTCTGAAAGAGACAGGCTCAACCTCAAACTGAAAGATCTAGTGAGGATTCACTATAGTATCGTCACAAATTTACCGTACAAGACACAGTTAGGGTATGTTCAATGAGTCTGCAAAGCAGGACAGTTCTCAAAGAACTTGAAAATTCTGTCCAAATTAGGCAGTACTTATCATACACCTGCCTTTGGACAGGTATATACTTTAGACTTGACTTGGGGAACCTGGAGAAAATGAGTCGCAGCATTTAACTGCAAAAGCAGACAACCTCCGTCCCCAAAAAGACAGTGTTTGAGAGCTATGACATAATCAGCTAGCTGGAATTAAAACAAGAACAAATCTTCTATGTCTTTTCCCAAGTTTCACCAAGAACTAACTGGTCAGTACATCAAATGAGGAGTAAGCACTTCATATTCAGTGAAATTGTCATAAGTGTAACAGTTTCAGGCATTTGACCAAAGTAATAGTACTGTCCATTTCAGTACTTGTGGAGACACGTCTTAAGATTTAGCAGTGTTAGATAAAGACAGATCCGAATGACCTCTACAAACGGATGAGAAGGATTCAACTGTGTCCGATTCCTTCAGTCTGTGTTCTAGGTAGTAAATAGCGATGTTCCTGGGGACTATTGAAAATTATTTATACTAGAAGACCTGTCTGATTTTTCTGATACAAACATGTATTTTAGAGCCATTTAACCGCAGTTCTTTAACAGACTGTATTGAAAATGTTGCTGAAATTTGTGCAAAACAAGCACCCAGTCTGGTTCATTTGCCAAGTGCAGCCAACCTTAACAATGCTAGCCTAAGTAGCGCTAGCACTAAAGACTACAGCTGGGACCAAGAGCTTTATTTTCTGTTAGCATAACATCCACAGAGAACCAGTAGAACGCAGAATGTGGTTACGTATTGCTCTGTTTGATGGTAATATGCCAGTTTACACTGACACAGCTAGCATACAACTGCTCAGAGAGCAGGGTGCTGCTGTCTTTTGGGACTGTAGCCCCAGTTGGTGGATCTGGTTGATCTTAGAACTAACAGTTTACTTTTATACTTAAATTTCAATAACGACTTCAAATGACTGGCATTTCTTAAGCTGACCAGCAAAGGTAACATTTAATATTTAATTAGTCACACACATCCTTAGTAATTGCTTTGTTCAGTCGAAATACACTTTTGTGTTTTTCTATGCAATATAAGACGACTTTGTGTGCTCTTTGTACCTTAATCATAAGAGTTTAACAAAACAGATTAATGCCAGCAGAGCTGTTTTAGTGAGGTTAATATTTGTAATATTTTTTAACATACCCTTAATTTTTTTTTCTCTTATCATCACTCCAAATCTTTTTTCCTGATATCTTAAATAAATTTAGTTTAATTTATTTGATTATAGGACCATGGCTTAGCGATCCACTAACTTACACCACAACTCAATTTTAGTGCTGTTTCTACTACAATGACGGCCTTCTACCACAACCACTGTGAGCAGACCTAATGAAACTGGCCATGGGACAGTAGCAGATTATGAAAACTTACACAATCTAGCAAGTGTTATTTTTAGGAAGTTACATGCTGAAACACTGGGCTATGTAACTGTAAGCAGTGTGCTGTAAGAAAAGAGTGTTTACAACTGCAGTGTGAAAACACCAACTTAGATACAGTAAGAAGCAGACTTGGTAAAGATATGATGTACAGTGTCACAACCAATACTGAGGTAGCTCCAGAATATTATAGAACCAGAGGCTTTTGATGAGTGATGTGAGACAACAGAAACAGAAAATGAAAAATCTGAAAAAAATCAGAGCTCCAGTTTGTTTGACTTCAGGTCAATTGAATCAAGGTCTTTTGCTTAGAAATTACAAAAGTGAAGCAAAAAATCAATTAGGCAGTTATATAAAGTCAGACGTTTCCCTCAGCCACCTTGTTTTTAGTCTTTATGCCCCTTATTGGTCAAATAAAGTTTCCATAGCCATACCTGCCAAAGAAACAAACCCATCGCCCAGTTGACAGAGCTGCCATAGATCAGCGGTCCCCAACCCCCGGGCCTCGGGACCGGTACCGGGCCGCAAGACTTGAAGCTCAGGTGTGAAATGTATGTTTTTCAGGGTTTTTATCGGTTTTCAGCGTTATTTTGTTATCGTTTTTATGGTTAACTCGGTTTTCCTGGGTCTTTTCACGTGTGTTATGAGTAAATCTTCTTTTTTTCGGTACCGGTACTAGTTTTATTTTGTTGTATTTATCCGCGACACTTTAAAGGCCGGTCCATGAAAATATTGTCGGGCATAAACCGGTCTATGGCGCAAAAAAGGTTGGGGACCGCTGCCATAGATGTCCAGAAAACGCCTGACAGGATGCAGGTTTCACTGAGCTGTTGTTTCGTTTTATTCACTCAACCTCGGGCTTTGTTCATGTTAGATGATTTCTGTTTGGAAACAGTGATAATTTTCTCTTCTTTTGTCATAACTGACGAGTAGCAAATAATTTTCAGGAACAGAAATTGGGCAGCTGTCCAGAACCTCTGACAGAAGACTTGAATGACTTGTAGTTGAATTTATTATTAATGTTTCTGTGGAGTGCTCTACACAGTGACACACTGATTTATGCTCATCACCACATCATGGTTGTTTTTCTGCTGCTATTCTTATAGCGTTGATTCTCAAACTCCAAAAAATCTGATTGGCCCTTGATATCTTTTTTGTTTTATATATCATTTCAACTTTTTTTTAAATATCTAACCTTTTCCATTTTATGTTGAGTCAGTTAGATTAATTGCATGAATTTAGCAGTAACAATTGAACCAGATTACCTCTGTGTATTAATGTAACATGTTTTCTTTGTGGAAAAACCGGCCTCTAGGAAATAAAACAAACTAGCCCCAAGAAAAGAAATTCAAAAAAGTACAGTAAATTCCACCTGATTTCTGAACAACTCACATTAGTTACATTTACTGCTTATTGAAAGTTTAAAAGCTCAGGTAGCACTGTTAAATTGTTTTAAATTAGTCAAAACAAGCTACAAAACATAGCAAAATGAAAATGAGGCTGATTTTGCATTGCCGGCATATAAACAGTAAAGCTAGTCTGTGTTGTTCAGTGTATTTTCCTCTTTAGCCCAGTGTTATGTAACGGACACGACATGAAATTATATGAGTCATGGCCCATATATAATATCTCTCTGCCCTTAGTCACCTTGAAACAGTTTGCAAATTGTTGCTGGACATAATTCTGCTACAGTACTTTCTTTATAACTCTTAACATCTTTCTCCTAATGATCGTATTTTCATATTCTATATACTGTCCCCAGATTAACTCATAAATATGCTCAGCCAAACCCCAAAGCTGCAGCATAATCACAAGCTCAACCCTGAAATAAGACTCAAAGACTCCGACTAAGAATCAGTTGACAATCAATTTGAAGGTCACCCTGAAATGATTAAATGAGTCAGTCTTGAATTACAACAGTGAGAACTGAGAGATGATAAATGTGAAAGCTCCAGGAACAGAGAGGGGCCATCCAGAGTGATGAGGCTAAGAAGTAAGATCACTTCACCGATGAAGAAGACGAAAGGCGCTCGCTTACTGCTGGATCCTGGAGGTTCCTGCTCCCAACACGGCTGGTCTCTGGATGAATGGATGGACAGAAAGAATAGGTTTGTTAGAGCAAAGCTGATGAAAACATAACATATTAGTCACTCCCTTTAAGCAGTTCATAGTGTTTATACCGTTCATGCTGCCCGACACTGCCAATCAATTTGGCTGATCGAGGTCATCTTTTTGGGCACGTCAAGAAAGCTTTGAGAGGAAGCATCAACTTCTGCTTCATCACTGCTTTGGTTTCCTTGCTTATGGCGACTTTGCCACTAGTTGAGACAATCAACTTGGATCTCAAACAAACTGTGTGCCACCGTTGAGCTGGAGTTTTTTTCACCACACCAAGACTCTTTCCATTTGCCTGATTTGACACACTTTGCCAATTTTGTGAACATGAACACTCAAGTTGGAAGCCAGAGCAAGACTTGTACTGAAAGATCTCAAAATAACATCTATGGTATTGCTGAAAGCAGTCCAAATGACCCCCTTTTTAAAAGCAAGATTATCCTGACCAGGACATCTTGAACTTTCGATTTTACTTTGTCAGCATACAGGAATCTGGTGAGGTTGTTACAATTAAAAAAAATCTAATGAATAAAACAAAACCAAACAAAGCCTGTACTCAGTCTGACATACACAGTCCAGCCAACAAAATATGACTGTAGTTAATGTAGATTAATCCACCGTGGAAAAAAAGTTCAATAAATGCCTTTTTTCATATTACCAAAAGATTACTCAAGATGAATTCAGCCAGCTGAGACACAAGTGTTACTGTGCATTTTAAAGCTGTAATATGCATTCGAAATGAAACCTTTAGAATCTACGCTCTTTCTGAAGATATGCTTTTCCACATCAGATCATTTTTCCCTCTTATTTGCTTTTTGTTGTGAATCTATTAAATGCTGAATATATTACATTTTTTCAGTTGTTCTTTTACAGCATGAATCGTATTGAATAATTTGATGTTTTATACATTCAGCAGCGCTCTCTATTCATTCCATGTACATAAGGTGTGTATCGATAATCAGCTTCGTCCAGTCTTCTTTGTGATGAAACTTTCCAAACATGAGTAAGCGATGAAGCCTGAACACACTTTCAAACACACATGCACACACACACACACACCCTCTCGCTCCTGTGTGTTTTGCTGCAGACCTTCTGCTGTCTGGGTCACAGAGCACATCATGAGTCGCATTCAGGATTGCTTTAATTGCACCTGTGTCTATGTGTGCAGTGTGTGTGTGTGTGTGCGTGTGCGTGTGAACAGGTGGGCTAGACTGGGCCACGCCATGGGGGTCAGGACCAGCTGTACACATCGCTGGTATGATGTGTGTATGTAAGTGTTTGTGTGTCCTTTTGTCATGGTGTTACATGCAGTGTGTGTGCTCACTAAGCTTGATTTTGCTCTTTCATTTTGTTGTGTATGTGGGTTTGCCCTCTTGATAAGTCTGTGCATGCACATTTGTGTGTGCGCGTGTGTGCATGTGTGTACAACATGTCTGTCTAACCTGCAGCTGTTGGGCTGTCAGAGCTTCTACCTGGACTCTTATGCCCTGCCCTCAGGGGTGTGTGCATGTGCATGTTTGTGTGTTTAGAGTATGGGGGCAGTAGGGTTTGCTTAGCCCTGGAGGCACCCATAGGGCGGCCACATCTCTTTCTCTCTTACACACACAGGCGCACACACACATACACAGTCACAGATATACACACGCTCCAACACACACACACACACACACACACACACACACACACACACACACACACACACACACACACACACACAGATTGTGTCAGTGATGGCTTTTGTTCTTGTTCTGCAGCTTTCTGGTTTGATTTGATTTTAAAAAGAAAGAGTAAGATGAAAGCAAAATAAATTCACTGTTTTGTGTGGACCCAGCATAATGCAGAACAGCCACAGTTAGTTTATAAAATTTATAGTTATTAACAAGACATTACGACACATGTGAGGTGACTATTACAGTATTTCAATTTGCATCATTTATGTGAAAGCCATTAAAACTCCCATCATTAGGGTTACAGCCTGAACCTGAATTCACAAAACACAAACGAATGAGCTCTAACTGAGATGAGTAATGTGGAGACAACTTGGTCATTCAAGTTGTCTCCACATTTGAGAAGATATTTTGACAAATAATCACATAATATAAACCAAGAAAAACACTTTTTGGTTTTGCACATGTAAATTCTATTTCATTTGTGGCATGTGCTGACGTTGCAGACATCGTCTGGCTGCAAAGTCAGCATCATGGACACGGGAATGCTCTTTTTTTAATGTGTAACGAGTTAACTCAGGATAAGTGGAAGAAAGCCATTAGTGGTTAAAGTTAAGTCACACATGGGGTGAGATGTTGGTCTTCTTCTGATTCTTCCAGTTAAGAAACTCTTTTTGCGTTAATTTCATTTTATTCTGATAAATAAAGAGATAGCAGGAAATAATTCTGGTGTTGGTTCATCTTTCATTTTACATCTATTCAGTACGATTCAATGACTATATGTCATAACAAGACAACGGTTATTCAGTGTTTGCTGGGTAATAACACATAACTTTAAGCTCTTATACAATTGGAAATGGCAATTTTATTTATATAGCACATTTCATTATAATTTAAATCAGGTATACAAAAATTCACCATACAAGACATTATCATAACAGCCTTTGTTTTGGCTTCTGCCTTTCTGTGATTGACTCTGTAGGCAGTGACAGCAATACATAATACAGGAGTAGAGCACTGCCAAATCCAATAATCACACAATATCCCTAGTCTAAATGTGTCCAGTGATGGATAGATAAATGATGGTGAAAATGCTGTAACACCATATGTGACTTCTTTTCCCGTGTCTTAACCTACCCTGATGGTACCCGTCCTGTAGGTGGGCTGTCTCACTGAGGCTTGGCTCCGCCCCTGGGCTGTCCTGGCACTTAACTGAGAGCTCCCCTAATAGAGAAAAAGAGAAACAGAGCGTTGTGGAAAAATTAGGAACATTGAAACAAATACCTAAATCAAATTAAAGAACAAAGTAGATAAAGAGAGGAAGAAAAGATGGGAAAAATTGTTCAGTCATTTTTGTTTCATTGTTTCAACAGTGAGAAAGAGACGGTAGGGAGTTGCGTTGTATGGCTAAAAAGTGAGTAAAGAGAGAGACAAACGAGAAGGGAGAGAAGAATAAATCAAAACAGCATTATCAGCCTGAAATGTTGTTTGTCTTTGTTTCCTAATCGGCTTGCACTTTCTTTGAGCCCAAACTGATGAAAAGTTACAAATTAAAACAATGAGCATCAGGCCGAAAACAATTCTCTCCCCCACTTCACTACGCTCTCTTAATTGGTTCGCAACTAATCGCTTTGTAATACTTGGGTAGCTATTATCCCTCCACATACTTATAACAATACCAGGAAGTCATGCACACAAACACAGACACACATATGCATACAGTTCCGCTTACATAAGCTAGCAGAGGCGCATCTACCCCCACTTTTGCTTTTTCTTTCCTTCATCTGTTTGCTGCTATTTTAATAAATGAAAAACTAATGAGAACGCTAAACCAGGACAAAACGGCTGCTGCAGGTCTGGTGATTCTGTTAACAACTGAGAAAAATAAATATTCAAAAACACAAAAGGAAAGCTACAATCAAATAGTTTTATAATCAACAAAGAAAGCAAAAGTTAAATAATGAAAAATACTGAGAATAAATCTCACAAACTAATAATTATATCCATGAAAAACTAATATAAATCATTTTAATGTAATATTTCTGACAAAAAATGAAAAATTCCTTAGTTTTTGTTCTTCTTTTAGTACCTTTTTCATAGTAGTTGGCCTGCTGTGCTACATCTCTTTTAGATATTTGTGCATTTGATTTGGTAAAGGTCACAGTACTGCCAGATTTGCATGTTGAATTCCCACTGTAATTGCCCAAAGCCCTACTTCACTTTCATTTCAGCTGTTAATTAAGTCACATTTCCATAATAAAAAGAAGTAAGTTGGCTAATTACTATAGGGATCTGACACAAACAAGTAAACGCCTCTGTCTCTGATCTCCTAAAGGGTGATTTTCCAGCCATTATTGTCAGGAAAGCTGTAAAAGACAAAACTTAAACTCATTGTTACAGAGATTTAAACTTAATGCTAACAAAGCATGCCAAATGTTTGGAAGAATGTTGATACTCTGTTAAATATGGTGGTGCTGGAAGCTAGAAGCAATGTGGACTATTGAGAAGGTTAGCTGTTAATTTGTTTGCTACCAGTTTCAGACAGTATAAAAGCTTAACATAGCATCTTTCTACCATTGCCAGATTAGCTGCCAAAACTAAACCAGACTAAACTAAAATAACGGATGTAATGAGAAGGATGGGGCCTGACTGTGAATCTGCACGCTCATTTTCTAATGACTACTGATTAACCAGTCATTAGCCAATGAGAGATAATCCTCTTTTTTGACACACTGTATGACTAAGACTTATTTTTTTACTCAGCATGATGTACCATGAGAGAATGCATGAATTCAGAAAGCAAGCATTCACAGAGAGCATGTCAGAAAGCTGTTTTCCTTCCTTCGTCCTACTTCCATACTTCTATTTATCAGAAGTCTTCTTGCAACCACAACCATCTTCATCTGGCAGCCTTCAGAAAAATTCTTTTTAGGCATTTCCACATTAGATTCATTTTACAACCAAGAGCAATGCCAGTGTTTTATTCTGTCTTGCTCCCAGTCAGCTCACCTACAAGTTAAAAAGCTAGCTAACTGGAATTCATGCTAAAGACATATACAGGGAGTGCAGAATTATTAGGCAAATGGGTATTTTGTCCACATCATCCTCTTCATGCATGTTGTCCTACTCCAAGATGTATAGGCTCGAAAGCCTACTACCAATTAAGCATATTAGGTGATGTGCATCTCTGTGATGAGAAGGGGTGTGGTCTAATGACATCAACACCCTATATCAGGTGTGCATAATTATTAGGCAACGTCCTTTCCTTTGGCAAAATGGGTCAAAAGAAGGACTTG